AGTTCACCAATTCTTTTGGTCCCCTCCCAAATAACCCTTCGAGGATGTTAACAAAGGCTGAGCATTTAGGTGAAAACTGAAGGAAAACTATTTTCAAGAAATGTTATTGTGATTTAGCAAATGTCGTTCTGCTTAACTGATGTTTATTGCACCCTCTCACTTGAATCTGAACCAATAGCCTTAATATTTTGAGACACCTCAATGGGTTTTAGTTTTCTCCAACACACAACCCTCCTCTACCTGGGGCTCACGGTCTGGGTAACCTCTGGGAGTGGGGATGGGCAATGTACAAGTCTGTAGTAACTTTGAAGAGAGAAAATGTGGATCCTGTATCCTATCTGTGTAATGTAACTATTACTCTCAGTGACACTACCTCTTGAGATGATGATGATGATGATGATGATGATCATCATCATGATGATACTATGAACTAAATTACAAGGATAGTTGAGACATTGGATCCCAACCGTATCATTAGGCAGCTGAATGATAACACAAAAACAACTGTAAAAAAAAAACACACACACACACACATATGTGTGTATATAATTCTGTTGGCCAGCTTTGACAGGTAGTTCTAGGGGTCAGCAAGTGCAGATTAACTAGTCTAATTTTAGGACAGTTTTAAGAGTGTGGGTATGAAGGTCAGCTTGAAACAAAGAACCAATCAGGTATTTTGCGTGACCGCATCACAGCCATGTGATGTCCATGGAAAAGGTTCCCTATGCCTGTCGGGCCTCTAAATGGTGATTGATAGTACAGCGATGAAGGTTCTCTTAAATGTGCAAAGTTATGTTTATTAATGATGTAAAATGCAGTGATTACAGTGAGTGTCAGGTGAACTGAGATTATTGTGTGCCAAAAGATTCAAACCCAAATGCAAATATTGTTAGACCTTTATTTAAAATTGTCATTTTCACAGTACCATTGTAATCATCATGAATTCTACAAAAAGCACAATTAACAAGAGTTGCAATGAAAAGTGATTGTTTCTTTCATATTGAATCATAATTTTTAGTTTCATTTTTTTCTTTTCTTTTTGGAGAATATTTCATTTTCACCATGGAAGCAAGTGTACTTTTAAAAATGAGATCATGTGATCAAAAAGTTAATTTTTTTTTAAAGATTTTCTTCTATTATTCTTCAGTTTTGAAAATTGCCTTTGCTCTTGTGATTAAAACTAATATCTATTTTGTGATTTTCTTTTTTTAGATATTTGTCAGGTCCATGAAATTCTAAAACTTTGTATTCATATTAAAAAGGAAAAATTAAAAGCTTCATATATTTAAATATATGAGATCAAAATATCAATACCTTTCTTGATAATGAGATTATTGCATAAACTAAATTACAAAATTGTGTATAAAATCCATCAATTGTTGTAAACTTTACATTTTTTAATTATATTTTACATAAATATAGCTGAAAACAGTGTAAAAACTATAATAGATACCTAAACTTTGAATTTCTATACTAATTTAATTTACTAAAATGTAATTATTTGAACCTGATAATGTATAAGCATGATGTTATTGTAGTGTAAACATTTTTGATATAAAGAAATAAATTTATAAAATTATTATAATTGCAAAAACTCAAATCTATATATCCATATTGATAAACAGTATGTAAAGTGTTTCATATATAAATTTAATGGAACTTTCTTTACATTTGTATACATTACAAACAAATGAATTTTATTTGTGTTATACAAGCAAACAAAATACATTTAACTCAAGTTTTAATTTTCTTATTTCCTTGTCTATCTTTCTACCTAAATTTCTGAGAACCATTGTATCTGAGAGGGTGCTAAGAAGTTTTCACTTGAGCAAGAAGGGAATAAGCCTGGAGCTATGAAATATACATTCTATTCTATATATTCATACCACAGTTCAGCACACTTTGTACTTTGTTTCTCAAGTAAATTCTGATGTTTGGTCATTGGAATCAATGGCTCTGCTGCTATCACCTCTGAACCATTCAAGATTTTCCTCCCTCTGAGGCTCCACTTAAGGCTTGGAAACAAGGAAAAAGAAAAGTGATGAGTAAGATTGATGGTCTATACACTCCAGTCCCAAATTCTTCAAAACATCCATTGTTTTGCACAGCCTTTTATACTGTGAAAAAGGAGAGCTCTCCACAACTTCACTCATTTCTTTCTTTCAATAACTCCTTTAATCAGTACAGCAATTTAGACTACTATTCTGCACTAACTGTTTTACTTTTCTGAAGATAGTCATTAAAATACCTTGTCATGTTAATGCTGTAGATTTCCAGCGGAATATAGAATCACCCCTTCATCACACTTGGTAAAATATTTTACTTATCCCAAAAAATGTAATCATAAACTTTTCTGCTGAATTTTGAATCTTGAATTTCTCTGCCTCCAGAAAATATATGTTACCACTACATGGGCTATTACTTCATCTCCAGATCATAGTGATATAACCATGCTTCATCAATAATGACAAGTCATTCTTAAAAGATAAATTATTGAAAATAATATAAGATCAAGTTAGACATGTCTACTTCATATTGTTTCTGATCATCATTAAAATATTTTGGCATCCACTTGGCTGACAGCTTCTGCATATCAAACTGATCATGAATTATAAACCCAATATGTTTCCTCTAATATATCATAAAGTTTTTTTGGATGAAGTTTGCCAATCATTTAAAATTAAGTAATTAAAATAATCATCAATTTCAAAAGTTGACACTGTTGAAGGTCTCCTAGATTGTGTTGCATCTTGGGTCTGAACATTTCCATGCTGGAAGTTGGCAAAAAAACTTCTTCATAGGTGAGTATGATGGGCTCTTTTCATCCAGTGTCTGTATCATACACTTGTGAATTTCCTTTGGATTGAACAGGATTTTTATGACAGCTCAGAGTTCAGCACTTGAAAATTCCAGAGATTCTTTTGATATGATTTATTCAATGATCTGAAACAAAAAATAAATGCAAACTAATCCTTTACAATTTAAAAGAACATTCTTTTCAACTACAATGTCAACATAACACTCAGATATTAGGATGGAGATCAATTCAAAAACTTTTCAAAAACTTCATAATAATCTTTGTATTTTTTTATTTACAGTTTATTTTGACTTATGAAATTAAAAACTACCTTATTCTCAGCATAACCTCATAGGTCTATAAATGTTTTCTTAGTCAATTTTATTACTAACAACCATATATTATAAATGCTTATTAACTATGTGCAAAATATATTGCTAATTTTATTGATACATATGATCAGTTACAAGTATCTATGGATGATCTTAGTACTTCAATTATTGTACACAAATGTTTTTGTCTTTGACTGAAATATAGCTCAAGTCTTGCCAGTCATATATTTTTCTTTTATAATAAATATAAATAAAAAATCTGCCTACATAAAATATCTTGAGGTCATAGAAAAGTAATGGGTTAAACATGCCCAATTCAACCACAAATATACAGATATAAATATTCATTTTTTTATATTTTATACTAAATATAATTTTATGGTTAAAAGTTTTAGCAAATTCAAGAAATTATATGAAATTTATGAGCAGTTTCTATTTTTTGTTTAGCGAAATAATTCAATCTTCCCTTTATTTTCTTGCTGGAGTGAGAAAGTAAAATAAAAATAAATTCCTTACATAATGTTCTACATATTGTCACATTATACTGAATAAATATGGTACTGCTGCTGCTGCTGCTGTAAGCTATTTCTTTTCTTTCTCTTTCTTTACACCTTCCTCAGTTGGATTATTGTTTGGAATTAGCATTTGGCAATTCTGTGGAGATGCATATGCCAGTGTCTGTTTGGAATCAGGACAGCATTGTACACTAGCCACGCAGCTTCACAATTAGACATGCTAATTATTATCAAATTCTTATCCACTCTAATTCTTCAATGCAATTACCTTCTATTGAAAAGTTTTGCAGCTTTCATGTACAAGTTCTAAAAGTGGGAAAATCAAAAGAAACAAGTATGATTAAATGACAAAATTAAGTAAGAAATAAAGTTGGTAAAAATTACATAAAAATGAAATGGGAATTTGGCAAAAGCAAAAATGAATCTTAATTTCAGTTCATTATTAAACACAAAAGACACAGAATTCTGACTTTATAAAGTCTAAGAAAACTTTATTTTTCTCTTATAAAAAGAGATCATTTTTCATACAAATTATTTTCTCTTTTATTCAGGTAGAATACTTTCCTTGTTTTATTTGAAGTTATTCATTGATCTTTTGAAACTCTTATTTTGTAATTAGCATCTTTAATTCATTCAAGCAGACAGAAAAGTCAGAAGAAGAATCGTCAGTTCTTTCTTTATATTCTTTCTATGAACCCTCTCAATTTTTCTTGTCACACTTAATAAGATGGGGTCTTGGTGCATCTCCAAGAAATTATATTCAGTGACTTATAACTATGCTACATAATCTTGTCCACTTTAACTTTCACTAACAAAAAATATTCTCAGTTATATATATTTATACTATTCTTCTGATATTACTTATTGAGTATTTTACTAATATCAAAAAATAATTTGAGTATTTTATTTTCCAACTTTTTTATCAGTGATATCTAACCTTTACATATGTACATGTAAAAACATTATGAAAGTTATGTAATAGTCCAAAAGGATATGATTATCTGTGCATAAAAAAAACTATAGTTAGTTTAAAAAGTAATTATAGCTGGAATAACAATGTCAATTCTATTTTTTGTACAAATTAAATCACCAAGTTGATTGATTGATTCATTCATTTTCTATGGTTTATCAACACTTTCCAGGATATTTAAAGTCAGAAAATATTTTTAGAATGTAAGAAATTTTTGATGGGGCTGGGGGTGTGGAGTGGAAATAATAATGAGTGATACAAGTCTTACTAATTAGCCCATAACTGGAGGAGAAAAAGTGAATTCATACTTATAATGGGAATTGAAACTTGGCTCTCTGATTAACAATTCCGAGCCAATTATCCATTACACCAGCCACTAATCTAAGCTTACAGCACCTGATATTCCCAAGTAGATACCCATCTAGGTACTGACCAGGCTCAATGTTGCTTATCTTCAGTGATCATACAGGAACCGCTGTTTCAACATGCTGTGGCCATAGGCAAAATCACCATGTTAATTCATATGTTTAGTAGAAAAAAAAATTGACTCACAATTCTTTTGAAGATAAAATGAATAGATTAATAAATAGATTAATGAAAAAGACAGACTTATTCATTTACATCTGGAATTTTAAGTTTGATGAGGAAAAAGAAAACTTATGTATAACTTGTGAAGAGTCTGCTAGTCTATGATAAACTTTTCATGATGATTGTCTTTGCAGCTTTGATATTATGCTGACAAAAGAGATAGACATTGTCTTTTATATAGATAGATTTAGCACCATTCACACAATACTGGTAAGATTTACTCATTGCATTTCTGTTGCCGCTGCTTGTATTCTTGATGTAGACACTAATTAACAAGTTTCCTGTGAAATGGCCACAAGTGATCTTCATACTGACAAACAAGGAAATGAGTTGGTGCAGTTAATATCCGGATATATGGTCAAACTTGGACAGAATAATCAGCTGTACAACCAATTTAAACTCTTCTTGTTGGTAAAGCTCAGATGTTGAAATACAGAACTTCAACCTTGGAGTTCTATTTTCATTGACATTTTGACTAGATCATTACCTTCTTTTCAGAGAGTTTCATTGAAATAAAATGCCATAAGTTATTATTTGATGAATAAAATAATGTCACAGTTTGAAACTCCAATAAGTTAAGCTGAATGCAGCAAGTCAGTGACATGTATTACTACTTGTTGACCAAGCAGATTAGATTAAACATATTGTTTTCAAAACTAAGATAAGGACTGTTTCATAAAGTTGTCACTTAGATAATTGCTAGATCATAATGTAAATATTTTTAATGAATTTGAAATTAAATTGCTTTCTTGTTAGTAGATATTTGTATTTTTGAGTATTGCGAATTTTAAAAGAACATAATGGATATATGGTATAAAATGTTTGATGAAGTCATTTATGGGTCTGTATTTAAATCTCTGTGTAAAGCCAGGGATGTGTGGAGAGCCATGATTACCCATTCCTGAAAGGAATTGGCACATAAAAGAAGGTATTTAACTATCTACCCACACATCTTGTGTGTGTTTGTACACATCTTTGTATGGGGTCTTGCCTCAAACAGAATTATTAATTTTTATTCAATTATGTAGAGAAATGTCAAATGTTATATTTTGTTAAAACTGTTTTTCTTGCAAGCAATAATTATTTTACAATTTAAAATAAATCTCCAAGATTTATAATTTTAAAAAATATTTCCATCAATAAAAAGAATTATTTTGAAGTTTTGATTTATATGTTCTTACTATGACCAATATTACTATTCTTGTTTTCAATGTCGTTGTTATCAATGAATGATGTAATAACATTAGTGTTTATTCATTAACTACTTTTATAGATGTCAAAGTAAATTTGAAAAAATTACAATTCATATTTTTGGAAAAGTTTCATCTTTCTCCTACATTAATTTTCTTAATGTTAACTTCTACTTAATGAGTAAATTAATGATAACATTAAAAATAGCTTAACCTAAATATTTTCATTTGTAAAGAAGTTTGAGATTATTGCTACTTTGTTAATGCTATTATATCATATAGTTTATATTAAAAAAATAAAACTTTTACTAACAATTAATTCTGGAAATGGAGGATTATGTTAAGAAACCTTTATGTAGGAAAAGATTAAAGAACATTATTGAAGAAATAAAATCCTTCAGGTTGTTAAGAGATGAGTGAAAATGATATTTTTGGTTTAACTGAAATAAAAACTGAACAGCAGGATTGTGGATTAAAATGGTACACATATAATAAGCAAAAATAGAAAAAATAACTGAATAAAATAAGATTATCTGTTAAAATATCACCAATGCTCAATGATCTGAGTCACCACATTATACCCTGTCTTGAATTGCCCAGCTCCCTACTGACCCATTATTCTATGATAATTTGTGAGTCATACTGAAAGTGACTTAACACTACTTTAAACTTGCAGCTTTTTAAAAGGTGAAAGACTTGTTAATTTTATACCAAGCATGTTTCAAGTTCAATTATGAAATCCAGTTTGTTTGCTGCTTTTCTCACTAAAAATAAAGTCTGTTTTTTTTTTAACTTTTATAAATTTGATTAGTTCTTGAAAATATTTGTACATTTGAAAATCTGGTAGCAAACTCAAACTGAATGCAATTTCATTGTCAGTTAAAAGCAAAATAAAAAATATCAAACCAAAATTCAAATCTTTTGAAATGTTCTTATTAAAATACACTATCCAGAGTGCACATGGTTACTACCATGATTACCAAGTTTGCTTGTTAAAATAGTGAGTACAATTCACATATGTATTCCACTAGTATGGCCTTGTGCCAGAATAAGCTACATTTAATAAATAACTATCCAGGTGCACATCCAAAAGAACTATTTGACATATAATATTTTGGAGTTTGCCTATTTGTTAACTTGTAGATTTATATTAACTTTAACTATGCAAATTTGAAAATACATTTTTTATTGTCATTTTTATTTCCCATATTACAATTTAATAAAGGAAAATAGAGTTTTCAGAAAAGCATGAAATATACCTGAATTTTTTGACTGGTATGTGACTTTTGATCATATGCTATGTAACTTTTGGTCATATGCTATATAAATATATAAAAATGTAAATTTTGTTTTTAAAAATAATAAAACTAATCTGTCTCGGTTCATTATTTTATTTACATTCAGAAACAAAGTAGAGGAAAGGATAAAAATTTTATAGATTTAATTATTTTTTTCAAAATTGATTGGTATTTTCTTTTTCATTAAAATTACTATTTCTTCCTTGTTGCTTCTTGCATTAACACTACATTGGATGCTGCTACTGTGGATCTTGTGTCACAAACAACAGGCATTAAATGCATCCCCTCTATCACTTTCATTCCACCCCTCCTCCATGTACACTCACTTTCTCTCTGTTGTTCATGGAACTTCAGTCAGTGGTGGTGATGGTGGTTGTGATGGCTATGGTGGGGAGGCATTTTCAATCTTAGGTAGCTTTTTAATTTATTTAGTTTTAAAATCTAAAATTCAAATTAATCTATGAATTTCATACAGTTATATCTCTTTGATGTAAATAAAAGGATAAACTTGTTGCTTGCTCAGTAATATGAAAGGTTAAATGTTACAAACATTAAACTTTGAACTTGTGAAAATGGATATTTGATGGTTCATTTAAAAAAAATGGGACATTACCATTGAAAGACAATGATGATTACAACATGATGCAAAAAAATAAAGAAAAAGTGTGAGAAAAGATTTTCTTGATACAATCCCACTTATGTCTCCAATGTTTGTTGAAAAGATTTGTCTTCATTGTGAAGCAAACAGTAGTAGAAGCAAACAAAAATAAATCTATTTTTTTTTCACCTGGAAGTGTGTAAGTGAGACAGTTTTGACAAATTCAGGATAAAAATTACCTGTCTTTATATAAGTGCCTAGAGTTCTTAATACTTAAATAAATTTACATTTCAGTCAGTTACATGCCATACATAATACATGTTTAGGTGATCATGTATCGAAAGATACATGACTGACGAGGCAGATTTTTTTCCTGCAATAGGTTGCCATTTCTTTCTGCGGTAGACCAGTTGCCATCCAAGGCTATAAAACCCGGTCTGTCCTGCTATTTACTTATAGCTGGAGGGAGTAGAAAGAGATTCATACATTTCCCAAGGGTATTAGCACATAAGTGAATGTAATGGATTCGACACAAATTCAAATTTGGCTCTCCGATTCCTCAGTCTGAGCCGTTATTCATTACTCCACCATGCCTCCCTAGTTATATTTACAGTTCTGAAAGACATATATGGCTACACCATATATGCTTTTCATAGTTACTGATAAATTCATAAAATTTTCTATTTCATATAAGCATTTTATATAAAATGAAAATTCTTAGAATTTTTTAGTTATACAACATGTCAATAATGTTCTAATGATTTATCAGAGAAGCTGATCCTGCAACATTTTGCATCAATAATTGGAGATTATTTTTTCCATTATCTTTATAAAACTTCATTCAATTGAGAATCAGTTCTAAGTTGGAAGTTAGGCAGGGATACTCCAGATGAATCAAAAGTGGAGTTTGAAGTGAATTTACAGGCAAAGCATTCAGCTTTATCAGCAGTGGATGATGACGAATCGATTGAAGAGTGAGGGGGTGGTGGATAGAGACCTTGCACTTATTTAGTACCCTATTATAGAGACACCGGTAGTCATGAGAGCCAAAGTTTTTAGAGGCTATGCAGTACCTCATTCTCTCAGCAAACAGAGACTTAGCATCTTAAAGGATTTGCTTACATTTGTTATAAGAAGTAGCAAATATGCACCTGTTATGATGAAAGCTGTCAAGCTGGTATAGTTGTTCCTGTGTGCTATGGTGGCTAAGCATGCTGGTGTGAATCATGGAGAGGATTGTAGTTTCACCTGATATTTCCAAGAAGGAATGAAAGCATCCATGCTGGCTTTGACCCAAGAAGAAACCTTAGTTCATATTTTATTTTTTTATATAAATTTTTTTTATAAATTTCTTATAATTTTGGTTATGTCAAGGATTTTCTTTATTTGTGTTTTATGCCAGGTTTACCTTGCTCAAAGTAAATAGAAATAAACAGATTAAGTAAAAAAAAACTTTAATTAAGCAATTTTTTCATATTTCCACAGTAAAAAAAAGATTATAAAATAATGTTATCAATACATTCTGAATATTCTCAATAAATATCTGTCTTTTGTTAGCTTAACAATGTCAAATTATAGATTAGGCAAATCTTGACTCACTTTTATTATGAATCTTTGTAGACTGAACTAAGTTGGAATGTTTGAAAAGTGAGAAAATTTGCAGGACTGATAAATTTAAATTCTCTTTCTTGTTTTATAATCATTACTGTTGAATATCAATATTTGATCAACATATGTTTTCTATCAATAATCTTTCAGATATTGTGTTCAATCCTAAATCTTGAGATGTTTGTGTTTCAGACTACAAGTAAGCACAAAAGACTCTT